ATCTAAACAAAACATATCAATGGCATTATTGATTTGGACATATAAACGAGAATCAAATATCCAAACTATAAAAAAAAATATCTAGAATCATTTGATTATGAATCTTATGATATCCGTGAATCTTGTCTACTTAGCAAAATGATAAAATCTCCATTTAATGGAAAAGGAGAAAAGGTTCCCGATTTATTAGGCTTTATACATAGTAATGTGTATGGGCCCATGTCCACCTAAGTAAGAAAAGGACATGATTACTTCATAACCATTATTGATGATAGATCATGCTTTAATTATATATATCTAATGAGAGATAAATCGAAAACATTTGAAAAGTTTAAAAAATTTAAAAGTCAAGAAGAAAACTAGCAAAAGTATTAAAGCACTCGACTCGATCGAGATGGTGAACACTTAAACGGTGAATTTTTAGATCACCCGAAAGAGAATGGGATTCTCTCTTAATAGACTCCACTTGGAACACTACAAAAGAATAGTGTATCCAAAATGAGGAATATGATGCTATTAGATATGGTCTGATTCATGATGAGTCATATTTATATCCCCATTTCATTTTAAGGATATGCACTCCTTACTAAAACTTTTATTTTTCAACCGAGTTCTAACAAAGTCCGTTGATCAAGCTCTATATGAGATATGGAAAGAAAAGAAAGAAATTTATCTTTCCGTAAGATTTAGGACTCGTGAAGCATATGTCAAACGTATAGATGGAGATAAGCTCGAGCCCAAATCAATAAAATACAAATTTATGGGATATCCAAAAAATAAATAAATGTATATTACTTTTACCAACTACAAGAACAAAAGGTATTTATGGCTAGGCATGTTGTATTCCTTGAGAAGGAATTTATAGATGTTAGAACCAATAGGAGAAAAGTTAAACTTAATGAGATTCGACAAGACTCATAAATTAACACTCCATTAGTGCAACCCCAAATAGATAGATTATAACATATTGTAACCGTCCTAGAAACTAATACACATGAACTTCATAGGTCTAAATGGATTCATTAAGAGTGAGAAAGATATGGTCTTCTTATCTCTACACATGGTGATGTGTCTTCTATAGAGGATATGAACCTAATACCTTGAAGAAACAATATTAGACATTGACTCTAAGAAATGACATGAAGTAATATAATCCGAAATAGAATCCATGTACACTAACCAAGTATGGATCTGTGGTTGATCCACCTAAAGGTGTTAGACCTATTAGGTGTAAATGGGTTTTTAAGAGAAAGATCGACATAGATGGCAATGTACATACATATAAAGCCAGATTGATGCTAAAAGGCTATTGTAAAAAAGGGGTTGATTATGACTAAACCTTTTCACCATTGCTATGGTTAAATCTATTAGGATTATGCTTGTAATTACTATATATCATGATTATGAGATATAGAAAATAGATGTTAAAACTACTTTACTTAATGGAAACTTGAATAAGGACATGTACATGACACAACCTAATGGTTTTGTCATCAAAAGATATGCAAAAAGATTTACAAATTGTAAAGATTCATTTATGGACTTAAGTAAACATCTAAGAGTCAAAATCAATGTTTTAATGAAATGATAAAAAAAATTGAGTTTTCATAAAACGAAGATGAACCTTGTGTATACAAAAGTTTAGTGGGAACTTAGTAGTCTTTGTTGTTCTATATGTAAACAACAAAACTACTTCTTCGCTATAACTTTATCATATTACAATTTGTAAAAGATTAGGTATTTAAGAATTTCTCCATGTAAGATATGGAAGGCTAGTCAACATTTTAGGAATAAAAATCTATAGAGATAGATCATGTAGAATGTTAGGACTTTCATAAAGCTCGTACATTGACAAACTATTAAAAGGTTTAGTATGAAAGAATCAAAGAAAGAGCTTCTTCTAATGTCACATAGCTTGATGGCCAACAATAATGAAGCCATATCATAAGCTAAGGAACCAAGGTCTCATCAATTATCCAAGCATATACTATAATGTTATCACTTAATTAGAGATATTATCACTCGTGATGATATAAGGATAGAAAAGGTTGATACCGATGATAATATAGCAAACCACTTGACTAAGCTTTTGTTATAGTAGAAACATGAAATCCTTGTTCGATTATCAAATATAAGGGACATGGTTGATTGGATCTAGTGCATGTAGAAGATTGTTAGTGTAGGTGTCCTTGATCCAACTTATTTGGATGGTTTGATTTATGGTATCATTGCATTTCAATATTAATAAAGAAGCTTTTATATTAATTCTTGTCATTTATAATTTGATAGAATTAAATAAAAGTCTATATGGTATGCATTACATTAATGATTGATCAATAGATGTGAGACAAATATCAATGCATTTAAATGATATCATGAAATATCCCAAGTCATAGTATTGTCAAGATTAGACATTGATAATATATGGCAAGACTTGGGGGTGCTATGCTCTTGCTATAAGATAGTAATAAGAGATCTCACACCTACCGACATGGTGATACCAAAGCAAGCACTTAGATGAATAATGTTGAAGAACATATTACTGGACGTAACTCACTATGAGAACCTATTTGGTATTATCTATAAGAATCTCATACGAAATGGGTACAAGTGGTCCTTTGAAACTATTAGGGTCTAGACAATATCGAGTCTACGATAGGCAAGTTTAGGCCGAAAGTTCTTAGAGTTAGGAGTCGGACAAAGACTAGGTTTAAGACCTTTGAGGTTGAGATCGGTGCACTCAAGAATCAAGGTAAGACTAGATTAGGAATAGGATCGTATCTCTCAACTTCGGATAACATGAGTGTTCCATTAAGATTAATTTTATTTTCAAAAAAAAATTGTCCAAGAAAATAATTTTTCCAATTTCCAAAAAAGGAAAAAAAAATTGCGAAAAAAACAAAAAAAACCAAAATAGATAATAGAACCGATAGTAAACGGTTCTTAGTATATTAATATATTTTAACGGTATATCATTACGCAAAGTAAGGGCTTTGTTTTTTACAATTGAATATTTGCCTATGTAAATTTAGCTGCAATTTTCCGATAAGTTGTCAACTATTATATTTTAAAAAAAAACATAGGATGTATACTCGCAATAGAATAGAATACGAGTACAATGAGAATGAGAATATATTATGTAATTTAAGAATCGATTTAATTGGTCACAAGATACATGATGTTGTTGAAAGGAGTGGTTTAGTAGAAGGTGTATGAGTTGGAAGCCATTGTAATTCCCGAGTAGTGGGGAAACAAAATAATGACAATTGAGAAATAATTAGAGAAGAAAAAAAGGACCTTGAAAGGCCCTATGCTATAAAAAGAATAAAAAACCGACATTGACACAATGTGAATGCCATCAATATTTGATGTTTATATACAATTAAAAATATTATATATAAATATAAGAAAAAATTTATTCATCTATTTTTATATATATATAATATTCAAAATCTCTTACCTGTCTTTAAATTTTTAACCGCATCTTATCTATCTCTGAAATTTTAAAATATTTAATCTATCATTCCGATGAAAATTTTCTATCATGAAAAAAAAAATTTGACAAAAATATCATTTACTAAAATACAATAAATAAATACAAACAATTAAAGTCACATAACCTAAATATTCTATTTTCAAATTCTTTAAAATTTTATTTTATTTTTGTGTTTTAATCAAGGACAAGGGCATTTAAAAAAAAAACTATTTGATTGTAAAAATTGATCAGAAAAATAGATTGAACATTTCAAACATTATTATAGACATATGGAATGTAATTAGAAATCTAGAAATTAATAAATGACTTTAAGTATTACATAAAAACAAAAGTATTGATATGAAATATAATATATCACTCTAATATTCTTGACTATAGCGTACTATCAACTATAATCACAATAATATGAGCAGATATGTAACCTTAACATACGCAAGTCGGATGAATAATTAATGTCATTTCTGAAAAGTTGTGATGCAAGGGACAATCATGGTTATAAGTATGTTTCTAATTTTTCTGTAATTTTTCCAAAACATACAAATAAAAGCAAATGCTAAAAATGTTTGGTCTCATATTAATCTTGGGCCAAGACTCTGAAGGCAACCAGCTGGACTCGATATGTTGGCAGAGATTAGATTATATTTACAATGAGCGAATACAAAATTGTCCAGATCTGGAGCAGATTTGAAGTGAAAAGGCAGGAGGTGCAACTCCAAGTGACTATTCCTCACCAACACTATAAAAGTGAAATCCACGATATATAAAAAATACTTCTGTTTTTATGTGGGTGAATCAAAGAGTATATACGGATTTGGATACGTCGTATTTCTTAAATATATATATATATATATATATATATATATAACAGTTTTCATTAATCTAAATCATTAAATTTAAATTGAATGGTTATGTTTTTTTATAGATTTAGACTCCTCTAGCGAATGAGAAAATTTGAATTGAAAATTTAAGTGTAACTTCACATAATAAAAAAAAATTAAATAAATAAAATCATAAAAAGATATATCGGAGAATTGAATATTATTTAAGAAATGATGAATACAATTAGTAAATCTATGAACATAGAAGAAACTTGCTAATGTTTTATTTTTTACTTTTTTATATTTTAGTTGGAGATATTTGAATTAAAAAAATTCTCATGTCACCTGCACGTAGCTATTAAGAAACCACATGGGACTCACTTCTCTCTTCCTTTTCCATTAAGAAACACCTTTCTGCTAAAGTACTAGCCTTGCAAATACAAAGCATATGCGAACTACCTTTTCAATTAAAAATAGATAGCAACTTCATCAATTTCCTCTGTGCTTTAGCTCTTTCCATGCTGTACATCCACTCATGCACTGAACATATGGTCGGTTAAAGCATAATGGGTTCTTAGAATTTGTTTAATACGTACGTACCCTCATGATGAATTATTACTACTTGCGTATATATAGTAGGAGGCAAGCTATCTAGATAATTCTGCTTAATTATCATTCCATGCATTATGGCGTCGGTGATTTCGTCGTTGCCTGGTCAACAACAACCGGTTGGGGAGATGGAACAACCGAACCCACAAGCTGTTTCAAGTGGTACTGCTTGGCATTCTTCATCCGGCTCTATTGGGCCATTCTTTGCAGTTATTTCTGTGCTCGCAGTTCTTGCAATATTTTCTTGTATTTTGGGACGGATATGCACCCGGAATGAAGTGACCTCACTAGACACTATGAAGCATAGAGGCTGCTTTGGATGGCTGCGGTGGAAGTGCCGACGGTGCATGACTGGAGATGTTGAGGTGGGAGCTAAAGTCATGGCTTTTGGTGAAGATCAAAGATTTGAAGGAAAGGATAAAGATTGTGAGGTTCAACATCCCCCTCAAGCTTGATGATTTCCTTTCGGAAGCTCGATTGGTGTTGTACTTAATTAAATTCAAGCATTCATTTACTTTGGCTTGTTCAAATTGTTGTGGTGTGCTCTAATTTTATAAATTTAGGGATGAAATTTGTTGAAGAAAATGCTCGTGTGATTTATGGCTACCCTTTTTATATAATTATAATATAAATCGGTAAACTGTTTGCTTGATCGATTAATTAAGCTTGTGAGCTTCTAAAAAGAAAAAAAGAAAAAAGTTTAATTAATTATTAAAGGAATAAAGGATGGTAAGATATTGGTCTGCTTTTGGAGTCCAACTTTTAGAATCAAATATAAAAAGGCTTCATTAATTATTCTACGTGTGCTACTACTTTTCCTAAGAATGGTTTTGATATTCAAGGAGAATGATTTTGATATTTTCTTGAATGAAATAACTAAATCAAGTAATTAAAAATCAGTTTGAAATTTACATGGACAGCTGGATTCTAAGTTTACAAAGATAATTACTCATAACAACGTATAATGATTTTAAATGAATAATTCAAATGTCTTAAACTAATTTGAAATAAAAATGGGAAGTTCGATTGAGAATTATAAGATTAGACAATATATATACTTGAAAAGACAAGATTGTAAACTTAACAATGTAATAAATCTAAGTAGAAGCTCACATTAACCGATGACAAAGAGTACTTACAAATAAGTATTTCAAACATGTCGATTTTTCATGATTACAAGCTATAAATAAAAGAAAAGAATCAAGAATCAATTTATCAGCATACTCAATTACTACGGCACAAGTTATAGACGAATAAGGTTCAAATACGTTGAAACTTAGAATAATATTTTGGAAGTTATTGGTAATTTGTAAGTTGATTTTATTTATAATCTCTCACGTTTCATGATCTTTGCAATGTTTCACGTTTTTCAATACTTTCTCCTGTTACCTTGCAATATTCCAAGCTTTTTTACAACTATTGTATTCGTTTTTATTATATATATATATATAAGTTATCCTTTATATTTGTTTTCTTATAATTATTTTTCTTAATTAAACAGTCCATAATTAATAAATCTTTTGCTGCAAGCAAATCACCTAATAAATTAACTACCATGCAAAATCAAATTACTAGAATTTTCGGCTTAATACGAATTTTGGATATAACATTGTCATGGGCTCGTAAATCAATTTAAATTAATGATTTGTATTGAGCTTCAGATCAGCCCTAGTGGAGCCCAAGCCTTGTATAATTTAAACCAACCGAACTTGAGTATCATGAGCCAGGCTTATTATGAACACAATTAATTGAGCAGAATCCTTGGATAGAAGGCCTTGAAGCTTGGAAGAAATGGAAAAATGATGATTTGGATTTGGGTTGGTGACTACAGTGAGTGCATATTGTGTGCATATATAGGCTTATATGATTTGGGTTTTTGGTAGTAATGGATTCTATATTTGTTATATTGGGTTTTGTACGTACGTCAGATTTGCGACTTGGATCCTTTCTTTTGTTTTTGTTAATGGATTTTTATAACCTGTAATGGGTTCTATAAATATTATGAATTTCTATAATTGGTCATTGTTGAACTGGAAAATATACATATGAATGCTAGCGCTGGGAAGTTGGATTGAACGCTAGCGGAAGTTGGTTAAGGAGTAGAAATCTGACAAATATGCATGGGGGGTTTCCAGATACATGCATGTTACATTTTCCAATTTTAATTATTTTATTTTTTATTTTTTATATTTTAATTTCTAATTTATTTAGTAATTAAAAGGGTAATTTGGTCACCTGCCTAATGTCGAACTTATAATATGTATATATAGACACACACAACATGCACGCATGCAATCTAATGTTTTTATACGTTATTTCATTTAACATCTTGTAATTTAAAAGTATTTATTGATGTTAATGCTCTATATATATATATATATATCAACAAATTTTTCCTATATATAAATGCAGTTACTACTCTATTCGTGAGATGCTAATATTATTTAGTATTCTCGTAGACTTACACATCAGCTATAAAAATTTATTACGAAAATTTTATTTGTAAATCATTTCTTAACAAACATTATCCATCGCCAATCATATCCTAAATCCTAAATTTATCTCACCGGCAACAAACTTGAACGAAAAGACCTCCCTCCCTGTAACGTACCCTCTCAAGAAAAACCAACCAATTAATCTCTCTTCCTCCTTTTTCCAGCTTCACCACCACCATAAAATTCATTGTCTACGTCCTGGTTACCATTATTACCATTTTAGTACAACCATAAGCATTGATTTATAACAAAATTTTTATTATTATTATTATTATTAATTTTGGACGTGCATGATAGAAAGATAAGAATATTAATTGTTCAACATGGTTGAGGCAGCCCTACATGTTGAACAACTGAATCAATTAAAGGAGATATTTGCTCGGTTTGACATGGACTCGGATGGCAGCCTGACCATTTTGGAACTTGCAGCATTATTAAGGTCTCTGGGACTCAAGCCCTCCTGTGACCAAATTCATGCTTTATTAGCCAGCATGGATTCTAATGGCAATGGTTTTATAGAATTCGATGAACTGGTCCATGCCATATTACCTGATATAAATGAAGAGATTCTTGTAAATCAAGAGAAACTTTTAGGGGTATTTCGTTTATTTGATCGCAATGGGAATGGCTACATTAGCGCCGCCGAGCTAGCAGGGTCTATGGCCAAAATGGGGCAACCATTAACGTACAAGGAACTCACAGAGATGATCAAGGAGGCAGATACTGATGGTGATGGTGTCATTAGCTTCAATGAATTTGCAACTGTTATGGCAAAATCAGCCATGGAGTTCTTAGGCATCAGTTTGCCATTTACCAATTGATCATGGTATATGTTAATTTCCCTTTTGGTCTCTCAAAATATGATTATGTTAATTGTCACCGTCATTTATCATGTTCTTAATCACATTTTTGTGACTAATTCTAGATTGTAGGGGTTTCCATTGACATGTTTCCATAGAAATTAGTTGTTGGAGATTGTTTTTTTCTGGAATATATACATAAAACTTCCATGATTAAAAGTTGTGTATCATAGAAAAATAAAAATGGAACATCCATTACATTTTGCAGAATGGAACCCATAATTTGACTGGACCTACATTCTTTCCACATTATTATGTTTGCTTCACAAGTAGTTTAAGATACGTGCATCATAATAATATCTAAGTTGTAAGTTTTGAATCTTAGCAAATGAATGCCTAATGCAGCATGAATGGAGTTTTTATGTTCATGCAGAAGAAAATCTGGTTTTTTTTCTTTTTATTCAAGTTTATAGATTGATCAGACTAGTATGGAATGATTTTATCTTTAATGACACCACTTCTGATTAGAAAGTGTTCTTTCATTGGTTTTCATAGAGAATAGCTTCTGGGTTAGATATATGCAATTTATAGCAGTTTGTGGTGGCATCCTTCCTCGGTTTAGCATGGCTGATGTGTGATCACTGATGTATTCGGCAGGATAACACCATCTTTAATGGAAGAGTTCACGGCCATGGATGAGTAGTAGTCTTCTATTTGGAATCAGCGCACTGGTGCATTGTTACAGAATCACAATCAGTTTGGAGCAAGGGCATTGAGAAGAATATGCTGCCCATGTTCTAGCTCTGAAGTTTCTGTGAGGAGAAGTGCAGACACCAACAAAGTTCTGGTAGGATGGCAGCTAAAATGGAATCTGCAAGGTTAGACTGGCCACGTTGGCAGTGTAAATATGTACATATGTGCGGTTATTAAACTGAAACGAAGATTTACATTTATTAGTGATGGAGAATGTTTACATATTGGTGTTCTATAGAACTCCAAACTATCATCTTGCGAATTACTGACCTAAAAACTATCAATTTACACATTACTATATATTTTATTACATTTTATAAATTATTGCCTACAAAGAATAACCTAACAAGTTGCAAGTGTGTTGAAACTTGAAAAAATGCTCTATGAACTACAAGTATGTTGAAACTTGAGAGAATGCTCTGTGAGCTATAACTTGTATTTATAAGTTTCTTGCTCCTCTACTATCTTTTGTAATAGTCTATGTTCTTCCATATTTTGTCATTTGCTTTTATAATGCTTCATGATCTTTCGTAACTTCGCACTCTGTGCTGCAACGTTCTAAGTCTTTTCGTTGTTGTTTCGCTGGTTTTTTAATGGTGCTAAATTCCTTTCGAATTTTTATTGATTATTCCTCGTGAATCCTTATTATTAGGGTTGTTATCTCTTGTGCTTAACAACAATTCAGTCCTATCAAAAGTTCATATTCCATGATATTCTCATCTAAAACCATTGTTTCTGATATTCTAATACTAGACCTGTTCAATCAGATGTTGAGCCTTTTCTTATTTTGTTGGATAGTCCCATCCAATCAAAATTTAGTACAACACTAAAAACTTCATGCAAGCAATATAAACATCTAGAATGAGCAAACGCAGACGTGAACTGATCTTCTCTTCTAAAACCATGTAATTAAGATATCGTTAATTAACCTTATGGATGATAGGAGAAAAGGGCAAGCAATACCACTGATATTTCTACACAAAACAAGCGTATCCACTTGTGATTGATGTATTATACATTTCATGAACAAAATACAAGTACAAGTGAAAAATTGGATTCGACCTAAAAGCGCCAAAACATCAGAACTACAGTTTTGGAGCTTGTGAAACAATTCACTCCTGACATGATTTTTGTAGGGCATGGCTGCTTCTCATCAGGCCACTTACCAGTACCAGACATTCTCTTCTGTCACTCGGCGCAACCAAACAACCTCTCTCTGTGTAGGATATTTACATACAAAATAAATTATCTTCTGCAACAAAATCTACAAGTACATTATGAATTTATGACAATAATCTACACAAAAATGTATCCATCAACTGTGCTGGTGCTTCTTCTCTTTTAAACGTTTTGATTTTGCTACATAACGGGCTGTATACCCTACTGTTGTGTGCCGCAATGACCTTTGCCGTACCATATTACAGTACTCAGGGTCATCCGTTTGCCCGTCACTTCGTAACCACTGTATCATCTGATGATACAGTGGAAAAAACCGCATTTGTAAGGTGGAGTAAGTAAAATACGGGATGAGAGACGATAACAACACAAGGAGTGTGATGAGCCAATAAGACGGAGCTGGTGCACAGGCTTCAATGAAAACTTTGTAGGCAGTTGTTGATAGGTAGGGGTCCATTGCTCCATATACCATGAGGAAAATGTACCAGAATACAATTCCACCCCAGATGAAGAGATGCTGGATATAAGTGAAATAGTTGATAGATAGTGCCATCTGGCAGTTAACCACCCACACAACGCACGTATACATGGTGGCACCAAGGATCTCAAAGCCAACAACTTCTCCACCTTTGCGAAAGGCTTGATACTCCAATGCACGGATGCAGAAGAAGAAGATTAAGATAGCACTCACTACCCCATTAAATGCCCAGCCAAAGATTCTGGTCCAGCTAAACAAGACATTTTGTACACCTTCTTGGTACAGTAGTGGGAACTGTGATACAAAAAGAACAAAGCATCCCCAGAAAGTCATTTACTGTTATATTTCAGACAGGTAAAACTCCATAACCAATTTCTCTTGGTTTAAACCATTAAGCATCACATGCTGGACAAAAGAAAATGCATGGAAACATTAAACATACCTTGAGGCAAAAACGGGCAGATACATCCTGGTCAAACACTCCAAGGGCAATCACAGGAAGTGATGTGAAGAAGACGTTATAAAGAGATAGAAACCAATCATTATATGCTGGTTGGCCTGAGAATGATGCATATGCCTCATAGAAGAAGAGAGTGAACCCAAATGCAATGTTCTTGTAAAAGAAGTAACATATCTGGCAAACAGAAAGAGAATTATGTCAACCGTCTCGATTTAATTGGCTGGGTTGGCATTGATATAGCACTGTTAATCTTCAAGAAACACCATACTCAATAAAACAGAAGAAGCATGTGCTTTTTTCTCAAGGCTTTTCTTAAAGACTTGAGCATCTTCATGCATAAAAAAACATTTCCAGGGTTCCAGGTAAATTAAAGGAAGACGACTCAAAAAAAAAAAAAAAAAAAGAGCTTGTGATATGACATAGTAAGACTAACTAGTACCATTGATGAGATCCTTCGGTAACACCAATGTCCATGAACAAGTAGCAAGCGCTCCAAAAATCGGAATTGTGCAATTGCAATATCACTTGACATGACTGCCTGAAATTTTGCGAAGTCAAAAAAATGGAGAAAAGAGAATCCATTCAGTGAAAGTGATCAACAAATTGGATGCACTGATGAAGCTATTATTAGAACTTACCTGCATTCCTTCAACACCACTGATACCAACACCGATATCTGCTTCTTGAAGCATTCCGACGTCGTTTGCCCCATCACCAATTGCTAATGTTGTATTACCTGTCTTAAGTTTAACCAGTCTTGTGACCTGCATTTATTAATATGACACCTTTTAGTTTAATTTTTTTAGTAAAGTTGCTAGAGGTAATTATATGTCAAAATTCATTTTTTTCCTCTCTCTAGATCATTTTTTAAATAATTGCCAGTTATTCAAACAACCAAATTATTTTCATGAAGACTAAATCTAGGACCTGTTTTGTTTTTATGGAACTTATCATATGACTTGTTTCACCATATTTGTTGAATAATTAAACGGAAGTAGGTTAAAAGAAAACACAAATACTAGGAAGCTTAATAATTCCTGCAGGCTTCTATGGGAAATGAATTCTTTTCAATCACCAGTGTTGGATATACAAGGAGAAAATGAATTATCATAAACAATCTAGAGCTTATCATCTACTTTTGGGCCAATTAAGCAATGATTGATGTATACATAGAATTGGTAGTACAAAATTGTTATTAATAGCAGGTCTGGCTATAACTTCTATGTGAAATGGGACAATAGTACCAAGACTCCAAGATCACTTCGGTAGAAGAAAGTTTTATGTAACCCTTCTATACCACGTCCTTTCTGTTATAGAGAATGATAAACATAGGTTAAAGTACATAATAACTTACAAGAGCTTTCTGTTTAGGAGATGATCGGCAGCAAATGACAGATGCACATCCAACAGCAAGTTCCAGAAACAGGTCCTTGACATCATCTTCAAGAGCATAGGTGAGTGATTTGCCATCAATGATCAAGGCCAGTGCCTCAGAACTTTCACTTGATGCACTAAGCAGTGCCATCCCCTCATCCATCTGATGGAGGACGCTTGCCTTGAGAGCCTGTATAGTTGGCAAGGTCCAATTAACTTTTTTGTTGCAAAATAAGAGTTCTTCTGTCTAGCAATGAAATCTATGCCATATACTATTTCTTTTAGAACACATTCTGTTGACAGCTTGTATAGATGTCATCACAGCACCTACAACACTGCTTTACTGACACAATGGGAACAACAAGCTAATCCAATCTTTTCCACATGATAAATAGCCCTAATCAATATCATTATTATTATTCATTTCAGCTAACCAAATGAGAAGGATATTTTTCAGCTAACCACATAAGAAGGATGTGAGGTACTGATCATACACTCATGCATATGACTCTCTGAGAGATCACATTTGGAACTTTCCCCAGCACAGTGTCAGAACAGGATGACTGGAGGAGAGATATGCTTTCAAGGTTTTGGCATGTCCAGTTAGACTAAGGGGAAATGTACATAAGATTGACTGGATAAGTAGCTAAAAGGAAAAAAAATGATATAAGTAGCCTAGATGAAGACATTGGAAGGGTGGTGAAAGTATAGAATGTTGTGCCAGTAAAAACCGGTAGTGATAAACAGTCCCAGTATCTGGTGAAAGCTTTTTCGAAATTACTAGACTTGAAAAGTCAATTTATTGAATTTTGTATTTTGCATAGAGGAAATGAGGTTTCTGGAGCATCTATGTGATGGAAATGTTAATTCATTATGAGACTTCCTAGGACTCTTAGGATGTAATCCATTCACATTCAAGAGTTGTCCACGTAGAAGATGTTAGTGGTCGTACTCTCTAATACTCGTTTCCTTCTTGCGGTTCTGTTATTTGCATCTTCGATTGCAGCATTAGCTAAGCAAGGTATTAGGATAATTTCCTCTAGGTACCATTATTAAACATTTATTATTGCATTGCTTCTATGTATCATAAACTGAACTTTCTATTTATCTAAAGAGCCACAGAAAGAGGACAGCACATGAAATCAGAAATTACCGTTGCAGCAGCAGCTTTGTCCTCCATTTTCTCTAGGGTTTTATTTTCAGGAGTATCTGAACTGATTATTATTTGTTTCATTCCTTGTCTGAGTAAACTACACGCATAGCTGCAAGATTCAACATCAAGTCTGAGATATTAGTATATGGGAGTTCGACATCTGTTAGACAGAAATTGATGTTCATTAATCATACCCAATATTGATGGCTGTCTCCATCTTATCTCCAGTCAAAACCCATATTTTAATTCCAGCCTGCGCAAGCTTGTCAATACATTCAGGAACCTGTTCAGAGAAAAGAAAAAAAAATTAGAAAGAAAATCTCAAATGGTTCCGGTAATTTAGAAAGAAATTAAATGCACATTAGCATTATTAGTTTAGATAGAGCACAACAATTTCTTTAGGATTCAAAAGAGAAATAATACTGATGAAGATTTATTAGTTTAGATGAAGTATAATGCTCTTTTAATAATGACACTCCAAATGACTTGAGCCATGGAATAGCAAACCAAGTTTTCTTAGCAATTATATTGAAAACCCATTTTTTTAAGACCCACCCCATTCTGAAGTTTGTCCTCAACAGCTGTGGCACCAAGAAGAATCAAATCCCTCTCAATCTTTTCTGCTACTTCCTCAATCATTTCCTCACGGTCTGAACTTACTGAGTTCTTCGCCTCAGTAAATTCACGATTGAACTCATCATATTCTTCCTCATTGAGTTCCCGATATGCAAGAACCAAAGTCCTCAAGCCAGCATCAGCATACTCGCCAACGTGCTCCTTGGTCTGCTCTTCAAAGTCTCTTCCATCCTTTGCAAGTCTTTCAAACATGACACTGTACAAAAGAACACAAACAAAGATATAAATGAAAGTGCATGAATAACAAAAATTGAAATCATGAAGTGACATAAAAGTAGCCACACATTATGACTTTATTTATGTAAATGTGATAATTAGAGGTTCCATCATGGGCTTCCTGTAATTACTATGGGAAAGGCATTCCATGTTCTGGGAAGAGAAGCAGTGAAATGTCTAGCTATCTGTTTAAGAAACAACAGTTAGAACCTACGCAATTTAACCACGAAGTGAATCTATATTTCCTGGAAGTTTTTTTACTGCTTAAACAATATGTACAGCAAGCCAGATAAACATAGCAAGAACAATTCAGTGAGCAATTCCCTGTATGTGAAGATTGAAGTCACCACTCCTTGCCCTCAAAATCAAGTCCATAAGATCACTGAATTATTCCCAGCATTCTAAAAGCTTCAAGTGTTGTTCGAAATTACCAACCTGTCAGCCCCTTTACAAAGAAGAAGCAGCTTTCCCTCCTCATTCCTAACAATCACAGACATCCGCTTTCTAGAGCTATTGAACTCGATGATGTTCAAAAGTTTATAAGATCTGCAGAAAAAGGGAAAGAAATTAAGCTATCTTCAGCAAAACAAATTTAAAACACCATCATCCTACTAAAAGTTAGAAGAGTTTCTAAATGAACTGAAAATTTAGAACAGAAATGTTTAACAGCTAAGAAATAAAAGGTTTGTCTATGAACAATAGAATGTGTGAGCTGTTTAATATTATTTTGAGGTCAGTGATTGAAAAAATAAAACAACAAACATCTGTGCTCAGGCCAATCATTCACAGTAATTATATCTTCTTGAAGGATATCTAACAAAAAGAAACTGACCTTTTAACTTTTGTGCCAGAGACCGGATCCAACTCACGCAGTAAGATGCTTGTTTGTGTTCTTTCATAAAATTCAAAACCAAGTTCCCTTGCTGCAATGACAAATGCTGCCTCATCTGGTGATTCGGCTTCATATGATATTCTTCCAGTTTCTTCATCAATTTCAGGTATTGCGGTATGGCAGATAGCGAGTAACCTCAAGAACTTTTGGACTACATCTGCATGAGGTTCCTTTACCCAATGACCATTCATGATCCTTTCATCTACAAAATTGAACCCTTTTATAGATGGTTTTCCTTCAGCCAGTGTATCCACAATGACCTCTTCATCTGTCTCCTCTTGAGGCAAAGGTGACCCCTTTCTTCTAGCCATAGCCCTTTCAACTTCAGTAACTCCACGGCCATATGAAGTGCCAGCCACAGAGCACTTGATAAATTCCATCGAGTTGCAAGTCAATGTTCCTGTTTTATCAGAAAGTATAGTGTCAACTTGGCCAAGTTCTTCATTCAAATTTGAGGTACGTGCCCGTGCTGGCTTATCAGTTTCCTCATAGTACATATGCAGATCTTGGTTGATGAAAACGCTCTGAAGAACTTTGACAATTTCTATTGATACATACAATGAAATTGGAATCAAATAACCATACAACATAAGAGCAGTTAAAAAATGCAAAATTGCTGCAGCTGGTGCCCTATCCGGGTCATAATAAACTGTCGTCTTATCAGGTCTGAGATACCATCTTTTCATCCTTCCATCCTCAAGGTCTTCCTTTGTTGAAATTCCAAAGAAAATTGACCCAATAAATGAAATTACAACCAAAAGGAAGAATAATAGGTAGACAACCTTATCCATCCTCCTCTCAATTTTGCTTCTCTTAGAAGGCGGCGGTGTTGAATTTTGCATAACCTTTGTGTCATGACCTGTGAAGATAACCACTCCATAAACGTAATCAGTGTTTCGCAGCTTTGAGTCCCTAAGTAGAAGCTGCTGAGGCATAAGAGCATGCTGTTCCTCTCCAAGATCCAAACTGCCTACAAAAGTGTACAAATTTGCATTTGGATCTTCACATCTTATTACTGCCTTGAAATCCTGAAAGCTGGAGTCCTCCTGCAAGTTTGAAGTTACATCTAGTGCTTGTTTCAGTTTCAAATTGGTTTCTCCGTCAAGGTTTGTGGTCTCAACATAGCAAATTGCTTCATCATAATTTGAAGAGAGCAATATGAGATCAGCAGGAAAAAATTCATCCTTTTCCACCCTTACTATGTCCCCAACTTTCAAATCCATCCATTTAGCATGATCAAATACACCTTCACCGTAATGCACTTTTACTTTTCGATTGTTCACTTCAGTATCCTGACAGCATTTTATGGAATATGTTTAATCAGTTAATGACTAAGATCAAGCATATTTTATGACTCCAGAGTAATAAGTTTAATCAGTTAATGACTAAGATCAAGCATATAGATATTACAGGTGAAAACAAGAAATGCAACTCTAAATTTTCACCTGAACAGAGAAATTGTTATTGATGATAAGATGAAGGAAATGGTTTGCATTTTATTCCGACTGAAGAAGAGAAACTTATCAACCACATACAACCATTTGCAAATAATTAAGCAAATTATGCACAAGAGATTTAAGTTACTACACCCCCTACCTCCCTTTTACCTTTTCAATCTAGAAAAGCCCATACCAATACCAAATTGAAATTTTTCAAACAGTTAAAAAGTAATATAATTATCTTCTTTCAAAATCATTTTCAACAAAACAGAAAATTACAGTGTTTACTCTTTATCACCACAAATCCTTAAGAAGCAAATTTCACATCTCTCTCTTCTACTCACAATGCTTTTAATATCCCTTAACGAATCATGCCAATAAATTCTGGTCTAGAATACTACCTAACACAAATTTAAATTATGTACATCAAAGGAGTGAAAATAAAAACCAGAGAAGTCTAGTTAATTTGCTACTGGTAAGTGGTAACATGAAGCATACCTGCTTTTTTCTCCTCCAATCTTCAACCGCCTCTTTTCCTATTGTAGCACCAATAACAACAGCTAGAGGAAAAACAGTACTGATAGCCGAGTAAGGAGAAAGTGGGGTGAAAGACAATATTGCACAGATGAGGAAATAAATATTGGCAACCCGCCGGAACTGCTCAAACAGTGACTTTGGGAGAAATGTTGTGAGCGTGTACTTGGTAGTGCTGACATAGTTGCTGGCATAATTTCGCAGACCAGCCTCAAAACATTCAGGTTCATTGCAAAAGACTATCCTAGAGAAGCCAGGTCCTCCAATGAGTGAATGCTCACTTCTGAATGATGCCTTTCCACATGAGAAGGCATGAATTCTATTAAAACGCTGCTTCTTTCTTCTAGCACCAGTCATTCTATAAAAACCCACAGCTCTACTCCCAAATGGGTCACACACATAAAACCTTCAAACTGGCACAGATGTGCTTCTCAACGGAGAGGATAATTGCTTAGAAACTTGGCCTTTCAACAAATATCCTATAAAAAGAACCAGATCCCAAAATAGCTGCTGGATAGAAACTAAAACCCAGAAAGCTGCCCGCACCAAGAAATCTATCACTGAAGAAATTTTAACAACACAAGATTAAAAACAAATACTAAAAACCAAAAAAGTTGCAGGACAAAAGAGCTCACTAACAACAAAACTAGACCAACAAAAAAAGAGGTATTTTAAATGGAAATGGTGGACAGAAAAAAGAAGTATTACAGATTCAACTAAACTTAAAAATGATAATCTGGAAGCCCAAAAATTGAATATACGAAAGAACCTAAAAAGAAAGGACCTTTTTTTTTCCTTTTTTCTGAAGCCACTAAAATCAAAAAACAAGACAAGGTTCCTGGCTATGTAAGGATCAGAGAATATGAAACATGAGAAAAACAAGAAAAAGGTAGCAGTTTATATATGTTGTATTTAATAGTTCAAATTATTTCTTTATTTCTTTCTACTGTTTATGAAGACGTAGACCAAGAAGCCAGCGATGTCTGACTTTGACTTGTCGCTAGAGCCTAAAGGGGAATAACCAAACCACAAACGTACATTGGGGTTTCCTATCAAAACCTAACGACTTGTTTTAAGTCTGTAAATACAATACAACACATCATTAAAGACAAAAACTAAAACTAACAACTTCCAAATTTAAGCTTAAACCAACACATGAAATGAAAAAAGAAAAAAATAGAAACTTCCACAGCTGGTAATCAACTAGTAAAAAATATAAAAGTTTCTAAATATCCCAAAACAGCTAAAAAAAAAAAAAAAACCATCAACAATTAATAGAGACAAATTCAAAGGGCTGGCAAGCAAAGTCTTCCAGAAGGTCAACCATGAAAGGAAAAGGAAAAGGAAAATAAAAAAAAGGCTGTAAAAAGGAAGAATATATATACTCAAAAAAAAAAAAAACTTACAGAATATATATTTAAAAAAAAAGTCAATAGATTTCTTGGATGATTGGCTTTCTGGGTCACCACCAAAACCTTGTTGGCATAAATGTATTATATAAATAAATATATATATATATTCTTTCTGAGAAACTTAACAGAGAGCTGCTGCAGAAAGATTAGAACCAACAAGATTATGGGGTCACAAAAGTTTAAAGATTTACTTTAAATAATACATAACCATATACGTAGGCATGTGCAGTGAATAATACATTTATGATATATGAACAGAGAGAGACGAGAAGAGTTCGGGAGAGATGACAAAAAGACAACACAACATAAGTGCGGTAAGAGGGAGAAAAAAATTAAATAAATATGGTGTCAGTTTTAATAATTAAAACAAGAAAATATAAAAATAAAATAAATAATAAATAAAACAAGAGTTCTGAAAGACAGTTGAGAAAGAGAAAGAGGAAGAGGATCCTACTATTAATCTAATAGAATTTAGGCAGTGGCGCTGAGCATCAGGCTGCTTGTTTGAAGGGTCAAACTATGACCTCGCTTCATACATCACGTGCCTTTATGTTTTATTATTATTATTATTTCTTTTTTCTAATTTTATTTTCAGTATAATGTTTAATTTTGTTTTAACCAATGGGAGTTTTGTGATTTGTTGAGTGGTTACCAAGTGTATAACAAAAACGAAAATGGAGTCTTAGAATTGTCTCTGTCTGTCTTTTTCTTTTTCAACAAAAAAAAACACACACACTCACATATTTGAGTAGACATTGTGGAGACAAATAGATTTGGAATTGTGATCACTGACGACGAAATGGCAATACAGATTTTTAAGCACATTAATCATCACCATGAAAAATAAATTAATTAATTAAATTAAATTAAAATTCTCTATCTTTAACTTTTAAGAGATTGATTTAATGATTAAGTCTAGAAGTATTATTTAATATTTTTTCAAGAATCATAGCATATGTAGGAATATATATATATATATATATAATAACAACTAATTAATTAATACAATGAATTAAGGACCGGCACAAAAGATTGACTTATTCGTCTGGCAACTATTTTTTCGAGAATCATAGCATATGGGACTAAATCAATTAATAATTTATTAACAAAGAATGTATTTTTGATAACTTATAATTCAATTTTCAATATTGTTGCTAACATGATTTCGTATTTTCTTAATTAGGGAAAATGAATTATATAAGAAAATATAAAGAGTTAAGATATTTAACAGGTCAGATACAAATACAAAATGCACAGATTTGAGACCAGAAATATAATTAAATGATAGTAAATATAATTTAGTTTGGTGCATGCATGTGGGAATGGGTCGTCTGACCTTATGGATTCTTGTAATTATTAACTACTTCCTCAGCCGGCGTACGCGTTACGTGTTACCACTTCTTTTTAAGTTCAAGTTGGGCATTTGCTCACTAATATTTGGCATTAACTCAGTCAAACACAATTAATTACCAAATTTTTGTGTCTTAAACTAACTAATATTTCTGCCTACAAAGTTTATTTAGGAACCGGAAAGAAAGAAGACCTCAACTCTAATTAATTTCTAGTTGACCAACATTTAGGCAAATCCCAAGAAATTTCCTTTGAAATCTGCAAGCGTTTTCCCATATAAAAAGTTTGACCTGGAATATTAACTGGACAAATATGACCTAATTTCTTATACGTAGTACGTGTTGTTCTAGTTTTTTTTTTTTTTTTGGTTAATTTCTAGTTTTTTATTATTATTTTTCAATCTTAACCCAGTTATATTTATATATAAAAGAGAAATAGCAGAGTTTGTCTTTATTTTAGCCGAATTTTTAAAGGAAAAAAATGATCAAGAAGAATGGATTTGGTGCTTGTCCATGTTCGGATTCCATCTAAAATGGAAGAGAAGAGGGTGATGAATTAGTAATTTGAAGAGAGTTTTTTGAAATAAAATTAATTATGCTTGAATCATGTTATATTTTTTAGTAATTTTGCATAAATCATGTTCAAAATAATATATTAAAAACTTATTTTAAAATATAAGAATAAATTGAACACTTATTCTACTATATAAAATAAAAAAGCTATTTCTCTTTTATATATAAATATAACTGGTTTTAAAATACTCACAAAAGAAAATGTAATCTTTTCACTTGTAAAAATCAAACAAAATTAAGTTCAAGGTTCACTGGCCGCGAATTAGTCTCATGTCACATCGGCTTACAAATTTCTCCCCAGTCCTAGAGGCGACAGGGTCATTGTCTCGACAATCTTTTTATGGTTTTCTTGGGAGTTGGGCTTATTCCTTTATATTATTATTATTATTATTATTATTATTATTATTATTTTGATAATGTTTATAATACTCTTTTTTTTAGCATGGAATATTCGGCATCTCTAAAATTTATTTATAAGGTTAATGTTTCGTAGATAATTATTAAAGATTAAAATAAATATTTGTCAATTTTAATTTAAGTTTGTTTGATATATTTTTAAAAAAAATTGAATAATTAAAGTAGCAATCGCTATTCTTCAAATCCTTAAATTGAAAATTCTTTAGGGTAAATTTTATAATCCAAGTATATATATTGCAATTGGAACTTCTGAAAATATCGCACCGTCCCTCTTTTTTTCCTTTTTCTTAAAAAAAAAAAAAAAAAAACTCCACGGCTTTTTTACACAGTTTGAGTACGCAAACTCTTCTGAGTAAAGATTTGACTGAGTTATCTCTTTCCTTTATGACCAATTAAGCATGTGTTGCAGCCAATCATAATGAGAGCTATAATAAGTTAAAAACATAATTATCGAAGCAGCATGACGTAGGCAAATAAATATCTAGAATTCGGTAATGTCCTTTTTGATAGGGACTTTTACGTAGTTTAACACAGGCTAAGCTCTTTGTTTGGATAAATTTTTCCATTTCTTATCAATTCAGAATTCAAATTAAAAACTATGCTGCATATTAATTTACAAATTAGTGCATAAGTGGTCTTTAATTATTTACAATGAAATGGAAACAAATTAATTAAGAGTGGGAAATGAAGTAGATTTGATTTGCCTCGTAGAGTCCAATTAATCAATGTATTCTATATTTTTTTGAATGGGAGAAGGTAAATTACTTGTAATTTCATTACTTTAATGGACAAGGAACAATAACCAAATTATTGATCAAATTAATTAGAAGATTTCAAATTTAAGAAAAATGCGGAAGTTTTTTCATTTCATGCATCGATCAAGAAGACATACAATTCTTTTGTAAAATGCATGAGACGGTCTAATTGTTGTTCTTAAATGTCTAATTGTTGCTCTTAAATTTTGTACTTTTTTGTTTCAAAAACCCTCCACGATCGTGTATACTCCTTCTTTCTTTCTTTTATAAACGTATTTAGCATCGAAGTTACTTAGTAATACCTTTTTTTATATATATCCTTTTTTGTACAATGAAACTACTCCAATCGAACAAGCTATTAGTAAAAGTTCAAAGAAAAGAAGAACAAAAACTAATTCGATAAGTTTCTTTCCCATCCTCGGCTTCTCAATCTTTTTTTTAAGCCCTTAGATTTTTTATTCATAATTCCATTTCAATTGCTTTTTGATAACAAATAGGTGTTCGTTGGCCAAACCGTTAATGTGCCAACCAAGAGGATGAGTGTTGATAAGTACGTTAGGATTATCGATTCGACGACCAAGCCAAATTGTATCTTTAATGTTAAGCAAACTCACTTACCAACAATGACTGCCACCTAGGTATTAGCAAGTAGTGCTTGTCATTTTTTTCATATGACGATCAATGCTTACCAACTCTTTAACTCGGTTAGAAAGAAGGAAGTCGAAGGTCCTACCGACTCAAACAAGTGTAAGCGAAACCAAACTAGATTTAGTGGTTAGGCTCAATGCTTCGACTAATCCTTCGATAGTAAAACAAGTAAATACACAACCGTGTATCACAATTCTATTTTA